GAACTCCTTCTACTCTCAGGTATTCATCCACTTATTCACTCACTTATCAAACATTTGTTGGGGCCATGAATGTTAATGTGTCACCTTCTGGACTATGGCAGAAGCCCAGAGTTTTTGTCCAGCAGTGGTTAAAAACACCAACTTTGGAGCCAGACTATTCTGGGCTAAAGTATTGTCTCTACTACATAAATGCAGCTTACTCAAACTGTTAATATTTCAACTTACATGACTGTTTTTACATACTACAGGCAGCCAACTTTACTGAATTATATGACTACTCTTTATAACTTATTAATTTCCTTATAATACATTATATTTTTACTTTTGAATATTTTAAAAACATACAAAGGTACAATTTCCCTCAAGCCACTTTACTATAACTTTTCAATGTCTATAGTCCTTTGTCTTCTTAATACTGAGACTTCTAAAGAGCCTGCTGCCTAAGTCAGTGCTATGATCTGAACCAGGCTCCTGAGATATGCACAGAAGCAATAGCAGCTGTGCGAGGAATAAAGCTGGGTGAAATCGAGAGCTGCAAGTCTGTGCCAAGACACCTGTCAATACATTTGACAAGGCTGCCACACTGTCTTTCCACCTTTTGTACGTCTTACCCTCCTTCATGTCATTCCTCTGCTTCCCTTTCTCCAGTTACTGTCATGAGACTGGGACGTGTCCTATCTCTGACTGTCTCTTTTCCCTGACTTGTGTGCTAGAGTGACCATGCCTGGAGACCTCTGAGATTGCTTAATGTGTTCATACAGACAGATGTTACTAAGAAACTCTGTCGTGATCCAAAAGTGCCAAATTAGACCTTGTTCAACATGGGCGCAGGGTCTGACAGGCCCTCAATAACTGTTTCACTGCAACTGAATATGTTCTTCCTCCCAGTGGAGGGTCATAGGAGGAAGCCTGAGGAGAGGAGGGAAGGACACTTGTCTGTGGCAGGATATTGAAAGACTTAAGACATTAAGGGAGAGGGAAGTCCTCTCTTCAGCCAGTGGGATGAGAAATCAAAATGACCAGACATCAGAACTGCATATGGCTCCTCTCGGACAAGCTCTAAAGCCTGGCAGTGTGTCTGCAGGTCTGTTTTGCTTTGGTCAGCAAGGTACTCTAAAGGAGACTGAATTTGAACGCTGTTAAGTAAGACAAGTACCCTTTGGTTTCAGTAGTTCTCACCTTTCCGTGTTTGCCAGTTAGTATTTTGCCACTTTCCATTTTAATTCCTAAAGTGAGTCTGACCTAGTTTTATTTTCTTTATTTTCTCTATTTACACTCCAACAGAGGAACTCCTGATACAACTCTGTATCAGGAATCAGCAATTTCTACTAAAGAGCATTGCTCTGTTCCCTGGACTGTGGTAGGCTTGAGGATACTTGAGGATACTTGATTTCACCCATACATTCCAAAAAACTTTCTTTTTTTTAATCAATGGGACAGATCTTGTTTGTCTTTCACCTGCTTACTTATGGAAAGTCTCACTCTGGCAAATGGTAGTATATGAATTCAAAAGGAGTGGACCTTTAATGATAAGAGAATGCCTCAGCCAAAATTTAACCTGTGTATCATACTTTGGTTTAACATCACCACGGTATTTCTGTTTACTCTCCTTTTGTAATCTAAAATAATGACACGGAAACTTAACAGGTCAGAAATTGCAAGTGCATTACATGCATGATTACAGAACCTTTCTGATATAACTGTCTGGACTGAGTGACTGAGTGTTTGGAGGATCACAGTATAGCAGGAAAATATTGATTTCCTGGATAAAAAATTAATGTTGCAATAATTTTGGTGCTGTTCTCTGCTGGACAGCACTGCATGTGAGGCAAGCTGCTGATTCAATATTTTTGGGTGTGGGAATAGATATTTGTATCTCATGTGAGTGTCATCTATTTCAAAGACATGTTATCTGTTTGTTCCTAAGTAATTAAATAATTTCACTTAATTTGGGCAAAGACAAACATTCAGGATAAATTAAGAAGTAAATAAAATTGAAAAGTTACTCTATATATGATAAAGTATATACCGTAAAATCTTAGTATTCTCAGACTTGTAATACACTGTCCTCAATTTCACCCCTTGCCCTGTGTTGGAAACTACCCTTCCAGGTTTCAGAAGCTGTAACCCCCCATGGCTAAGGCTTAGTAAAAAGATCTTGGGACCATAAGCCACTAAGGAGACAAAGCCTGTTTTCCCAGCAGGGGTGCCACCTCTGCCCCCTTTACTTCACCCTGCTTGGCCCCGGTGGATGACTGGTTAGCCAATGATGGGAAAGATTCCTCAAGGGAGGGACAACCTAAGATAGGAAGGTCATGATGGGGCCATCAAGGAAGGACTTGGGGGGCTATAGAAAAAATGGGTGATAGGCCCTCACCCCTTGGCTTTGACATAGCCTTAGTCCTCATTCTGCCTGTAAAAAATCTCCTCAACTCTTGGCTGCCTTACCTCCAGTGCCTGACTTAAGCCTGAAACAATGCTGGAGGGCAGTGCAGCCCTGGGCAGGAATGGGTGGTTCCCCAGGACAATCAGGCCTAAGAAAGAATGCATAAAATCCTGTGAAACCTGCTTTGCTAAGAGTGCCCTCAATTTTCTGATAAGGGTCCAAGCATAAAATGAGTTTCTTTCTCAAAGTTTTATGGCCCTTTGGCAATCTGTCCCTGACTCAGAATAAGCCCTCATAGTTCTTGGAATATTATCTATTGCTTGATCATTACTGCCTGACAATGATTGATGAGCTTTACACCCTGTATTCCTATGCAAATTAGACCCAATAAAAGCCCATTGAGGAATAGGCTCAAGGCCTTTCTCCTCTGAGAAACTGGCCACATTTCCTCCCCAAGCAGATCAAGCCTTGGTAGACTTATTCTCATTCATGCGGACTGGGTGGGAGGGGCCTCTGTGGGTGGAGCCCCCCACATCCTGTTCATATTGTATAAGAATCTCAACTGGCTATTATATTGACAAAATCTCTTGTCAATCTGAAAAGTAATGTTAATTCATCTCCTAACTCTTACGGTCCTCAATTGTACCAAGCCCCATATCCATCAACAAAACTATTTTTGTCTCCACAGACATTCAGTCAGCACAATCTGAACTTCAAATCTAACTTCAAATCTGAAATGAACAAAAGGGCAGATTCACTTTTAACAAATGTATATGCAAAAATTAAAAGCCAAACAAATTGCTCCCGGCAAGTCCAGACTCTCTCAAGGCAAGAACGGCACGAAAATGGCCAGAAAGCAGCATTAAGTCTAAAGTTTTGTGACTAAAGCGCACAGACCGACTGGACTGGACTGAATTGAACTGAGTAAAACATTAGGAATATGGAGGATATACCTTGTACTGGCCTCACAATTTTTATTCCTTCTAACTTGAGGCGCCATAGAGAGAGAAATGACTAAACCTCTATTTTAATAGCTGCTGTCAAGAGTGTTGCTCTGTGGGCTTATTTCAGCAGCTCCTGGTGGTGATGTATGGCATTTCCCTGATTAACAGCCATTGTATAACTTCTGTAATTGGCCACAAATCAGAGGAATGTCATAATGTAGCAAGAAAACATTCCCATCTTTGTCAGAGGTTGGCTTGGATTTCTGGAGGAATTATGACTTGAGTAGTTTGTGGGTTTCATTACTTTAAATAATGTACTACCTGAAGTACAAAAAAGGACATTTAAACTAATGAACATTTCTGTCTCCTAACTTGTTCTACAAATCCTACCCTTAGATTTATTTTTTTCTTGAAAAAATCCCTAAAAAGAAAATTATTTCTTCATTTTTATAATAGAGGCGAGGACAGGGCAGGGAGCAGGTTGAGGTAACGGAGGCATTCTCAAGTGTAAAATTTGAAGGGGCACCAAAAAACTCAGTATTCAAGATAAAATGACTTTGACATACTTAAAAACTGATATTAATTAAAAAAATATCAATGATGAACAGAACATTAAAATCTTAAGTAAAAAATAGGATCTCGCCCTGCACCTGCATGACTCACCTTATGCACCTCACCCTAGCTGCAGCTCCAGCACGGGCGTCGGATAGGGAAAGGTGGCCACAAAGTCATGAGATCAACCCAATTTGTCCAAAAGGAGAACAGGTCTTGGCTCATTATAGTTACTCTTCAGCTTATAATAAGAGCAGTCTGCTGCACAGAATTATGTGTATAGGAAGTCTTGTTTCACCAGTGATACACAGTCCAAAGCATTTTACTATCAAGGTGCCATCTATGCTGGAGACAAAACTTGTAATTCCATAGCCTTTATTGGAGGCCATGGACTATTTGTTTAGAGAAAAACAAATATAAATAAGTATAAAAAAACCCTTTCTCTTTCTAAGGTTAGTAAAGATGGCCACCATTCCTTTATTTAAAAACCATGCTTATTTCCTGATTTGAGCAGTAACTGCAATATTATACATTAGAAGTACCAGTTAAAAAGATCTTGTGTATATCCTCACAAAGATGAAATGTATGCCCATGGTTGCAGTGGTTTGAAGCCTATGAGAAAGATATGATGAACAAAAATGGGGCATGTCATTTAGACAGGGTGTTAGGTTTTCTAGAGAGGATAACATTTGTGCTATATCTTGTAAGTCTGGTAGAAGCTAGTTTGATAAAAAAGAAAGAAGGATGATGAGGCATTTATGCTATATCTGCCTGATTCATTCCTTCGTGACTGACTTCTTGAGAGAGAAGAAAGTAGGATTTTGTGTGGTTAAAATTTTATTACACTTTCATTTAAAAGTTACTAAACTTTAGATATAGATAAAATGATGCTTTAAAAATTAGGTTTAAAATGATAAACTATTACCCGATGCAAGATGAAAGTGAGGACAAAAATACAGTAAAACTGGTGAGATAGTTTACTTGCAAGAAATTCAGATAATAAAAATAATAATAGAAATCATGCTGAAACTATAACATTTTTCTAATCTTGTAATAAGATATCTTACCAATTGTAATTACACTTGACCTGAAAATAATAATAAAAATGGGTCACTAACCTTTTACATTATTTGCTAATTTCTTGGCTTCATTAAGAATCCCGAAGCTTTTCTGAAGAGAACCTTTAGCATCTTCCTTTAATAAACCCTGAGGACCTGTTGCCTGAAGGGAAAAGAAAGAGGCGTCACAGCCAAACCGTAGAATTATGGAGACATATCTAGCACGTAGTTGCTGTACAGAGTTTACTTTCAGGATAGCGTTCTGGACTACAGATTTAGAATAATAAATTAACAGTATGTATTGGTGATTAAAGTTAGCAGACTCTTTATTGGGAGAAGGGGAAGGCCTAGAAGAGAACTCTGAAGATTCCAAAAATTTAAAGGTCATGTATAGAAAGTGAGGCTGGCAAGGTAACTTGAGATTCTGGAGAGGACAAAGTGAGACTATGATAGCATACTATTATGGAAATGAAGAGATAAAGAAGTATCTGAAAGCATGATGGCTGGCAATGTTGCAAGGACGTACCCGGTCAGTGTTATCAAGGGCTGAAGAACAGTCAAGCAAATTAACATCTAAACACATCCACTGACTTTATCCCTAAGCACATTTCACTTGCATCGTGGGGGAAGGGCATTTCCTGTCTCTTAGGTGTTGAAATGAGAAAGAACATCACTCCTTTTCTAAACGCATCTCAAAGTACTATGGCAAAACAAAATCTTCTAAATGACAATCTCTGAACCACAACCATCTCTCAGCATAGTGTATTTGGTGAGCCTTGGATTAAAAGAGGTGACACAAAGATAATAGAATGGTATGGAAAAAGAATAATTTACTTTTAATGTCTAGTTACCCATTTTAATAGCGTTTGCTCCTCAGCAATACATAATACATAGGTATTGTATTACATACAATGCATAATCATTATATAATACATTATACCAAGAGAGAAATCAAATAAGATCTTATGTTACATTTTAAACTGGGAAAGTGTTTCAGGGTGCAGGAAGAGCTAGAGAATGCTAAACACTTACTGCTGAAGTTATAAATCTGAATTCAGGTAACCTCAGACATAAGACTCTTCAAAGATACTTGCAGGGACTTAATAACATTTTTTTCTTGTATCAGTCACATTATTTGAGCATTAAACTAGGAAAGATTACAGAATTTCATACTGTTGTAGTAAAATTTATCTTAAGTTGTTACACCAACAGCTTTCATTTAAATAATCTATTGCTCACAGAACAGATTGATTGCAGAATGCTATGATATCTACAAATGAACATATTAGAAATATCTATATAAATAAAAGGGACATTGTGCATATATATCTAGCATTTGGAAAAGAGATAATAATTCTGGTAAATTATTCTATGGAAAATGAACAGTCTCTTCAATGGAAAACACAGAAATTATTGGTCTTATAGCTTTCCTTGGAAGTTAGATACAATAACACCACATAAGTGGCATTTATCTTGAAAAAAAAAAGCAAGAGTGCCAATGTAAATGGCACGAATCCAATGTACCTTATTAAAAAAAAATAAACCTCAATTACCCACTCAGGTTCTATATTTGTTCCAAATTTATATGCCATTCTTACTTCCTTGGTTATAAGTTTTCTGAATCAAAACAAGTTAGAAAGAAGAAATTACAAAAAAAGGAGGACAAAGAGTCTCTGAATAGGCACTTGAAAACAGCAGAAGTGACAGCTGAGTCTGTGTGACAGGAGGAAAGAGAAAACGCACACGTGAAGAGAAGAGACTTGAGGCTCATGAGCTGGAGTCAGTTTGAGTAGGGACAGAGTAGGTTTTGGGAGATAACTCTGCATCATCACAGTAATAGGGGGCATTCATGAGACTAGATTGAACAGGAGAGAGAGAGCGAGCAGAGAAAGATTTCCTTATAGCCTTGAGGTATGAATGCCTTTGCACAGAAACGATCTGACCAGAAATTAACAGCCAAAATCTTACAGCTAATCTTGGATATGCAAAGTGAGGCATAGGGGGAAAGGAGAGAGAGAGAAAGAGTTGATTTGCTGTGCGTTAGAAAATTAATGCAATGCGGTAGAAAGAGGCTGTATTCTAGGCTGTGGAAATTGTCAAATGACTATGATGTCCAATATCCATTTTTCTCTGCTTTTATTTACATTTGTCAAAAGTTATATTAAGGCATAAATAAACCTGACATATTTACAATTTACGATTTGGTAAGTTTTGACATAAGCTGAAACCATCACCACAAAGTAGAGAACACTTCCATCAGTTCTTTTTACTCCCTTCCTTCTACCCCTCCTGGTCTTCCCCTCATCACCACACAAACACTGATCTGTTTTCCACTGCTACTAGTGATTTATAATATTTTATATCAATGGAATCATCCAGTATGTACTCTTCCTTTGTCTGGCTACTTTCATTAAGTGTAATTATTTTGACATTCACCCATGCTGTGTGTGCATCTGACTTTTCCATGTGAATCTGATTTCTTCTGTTGGTGGGAAAGGAAAACGGGGACACCTTCAATAGGTGTAGAGTTTCAGTTGTGCAAAATGAAAGTCTAGAAATCTGTTGCACAAAAACATGCATAGAGTTGACACTACTGCACTCTTAAAAATACTCATGATGGTAAATTTTATGTTATGTGTCTTCTTCATCACAATAAAAGAGCCTTGAAACCCTCCTCCCTCCAAAAGAAATGTGATCCTTTCTTTTAATTTATATAGATAGGCCCCAATCTAATTATTCATTCACCTGTTGCTGGACATTTGGATTATTTCTAGCTCTAGCTATTCTAAATAGAATATGTATATGAATGTGTACAAACCTCTGTATGAACATATGCCTTCATTTATCTTGAAGTGAACACTACAAGTGGACTGGCTACATGATATGGAAGGTGTATGTTTAAGTTTTTAAGAAACTACTAACCTTTTTCGAAATTTCTTCCAGCAGTTACATTTGCCTACATCTTTGCCAATTCTCCAAGTAGTCAGCATTTTTATATTTTAGACATTCTAATAGGTGTGCACATCATTTTGGTTTTAATTTAAATTTTCCTTGTGAGTAATAATGTTGAACATATTTTCATGTATTTATTTGCCATCTTTTTTGGTGAATTGTTTGTTTAATGTTTAATCTTTAATGAATTGTTTGTTTAATGTTTAATCTTTTGTCCAATGTTTATTGGGTAATTTGTTCTTATTGAGTTTTGAAAGATATTTATGCATAGTCTAAATATAAAGCCTTTATCAAATATGTAACTAACAACTATATTCCCCTAGTTTGCAGCTTGTCTTAGGAAGTGGTTGCATTTGATTTAACATTGTCAAGAATTCTTGTACCCTATACATTTCAAGTTTTTCTAATGTTTTTGTCTGGTTTGCATCAGAGTAACTCGCCTCATAGAATGAGGTGAGACATGTTTCCTCCTCTTCAATTCTCTGAAGAAATTACTATTTTTCCTTAGATATTTATTGGAATTTAATGGAGAAGTCATCTGGAACTGAATCTGTGTGTGTGTGTGTGTGTGTGTGAAGGTTCTTAAGTACAAATTAAATTCTTTAAGGAATTTAAAGGGCTATTTGAGTTATTCATTTGTTTTTAATTGTTTTTTACTGTATTTTTTCCATTACCGTTTATCTCCCTTATGCCCTCTTCCACCTCCTCGTCCTTGCAATTCCCACACTGCTGTCCGAGTCCATGAGGCCTTCCTTCTCAATCCTTTCACCCCCAAGCCCTCCAAGTGCTGTCAATCTGCAGTCTATGAGTCTTTTCTTTTCAAGTTATTTATCTGTGAGTTTTGATAGTTTTGTGATTTTCAAAGAATTTGTCCATTTCATTCAAATTGATGAATTTTTGGCATCAAGTTGTTTATAATATTCTCTTATTAACTTTTACTGTCTGCAGAAACTGTAGGTTTGAAAGTTATTGTTTACTTTCTATAAATGAGGTTTTCACCACTTTTATTCCTGATACTAGATATTGCTGACTTCTCTGAATTTTTTTATTAGTCTGCCTGGATGATTATCAACTTACTGATCTTTCACTGGACCCTTGCACCTTCATCCAGCAACATGGCTGAGCTCTGACTGAAGTCCATCTGCTGATAGACTTCCCTGCTGCTGGTTTCCTATCTTCCTGCATTTATGAATATCTCCTGCCTTTTGCTTCCAGGCACCTTCTCTTTCTTGCATTTCAGGAAGCCAGTGATTTCTTCCTGGATCCTTAGTCAACCACTTCTTGCTCAGATAATAATAGCAATAAGATCAGGAAAGGCAAGGAGGCTCAGAATTTTGATGTGTGGATGAGAGACCAGTATTTCGGTTGAAAAAGACTGTGGAGTTTATAAAGGGCAGGGTGAAGAATTTAAGCTATGAGGTGGATTAGTGTCAATTTCAGAAGAGTGTAAATGTCTGACTGAGGAAACAGGACAATAAACAATGTTGAGCTATTGGACGTTTCTGCGTAGGTGTGCGTGATCAGAGCCTCAGTCCAAGAAGATGAATTATGCAGCTGTGTGGGAGGACAAGGATGCATCTGTTGGCTATTGCAATAGTGTAGTCCACAAAAAAGACAGTTGTAACCTCAGGCAAGGGCAGTGGAAGTGAAATGTTTGGGTTCAAGAGATATGGAGGAATAACACAAGTTGCAATGTTTTGAGAAGCACTCCAAAATATTAAAGGGCTGATGGCATACAAGGGTTACTTATGAGCAGGATACCAACAATCCAGGGTTAAAAGACGAGCCTTTCATATGACAACAGGAACACACTAACGTGTTATGGATGAACAGAACTGTTGCAACTCGTTGGAATTTGGAGAGTTCTTTTCCCAACATCGCCAAGTAAGGCACTGAAGCACATCAGCACTATCAGAACAGGTGATGAAGAAGCATTTTCCAAGCTAATTATACTTCATACATATTCATAAGCATCACATCTGAGTTTCTGAGCTGTGTCTACAGCATATGTGAAATATAAATGAGGTTTTTAGAGTTGCAAGACATGTTTCTTTTTTTAGAGATTGTATTTTTGTAAGTTCTCTCTGTGTGTATATATGTATGTATACATTATATATAAATTAGATAAAAACTTACCGAATCACACATAGTAAAATATTATTATATATAAATCATTGTATGTTTTGTTAGTAATCATTTATAGAAAATGTG